TAAGCTATTAAATTTGAATTAGCTGTAGATAAACTATTACTATTTTAAGTAAAAAGTATGTAGAATAAAAATAGTAGTTGCTAACACTCTTTTCAAGTTACCTAACAGACGACTGTACACATGGAAATCTCTAAGTGACACCAAAGGTAGAGTAGTCAGAAACCAAATTGACTTTGTCCTTGTTAGTCAAAGATTTCGCAACTCTATACTCTCAGCTAAAACCTACCCAAGAGCAGACATAGGCTCGGATCACAATCCTGTAGTAGTCACATTAAGAATAAATCTAAAGATCATTAAAAAACACATACAGAAACAAATTGACGTGCGGAAGACTAAATGAACAACATAAAAGAGAAAACAATAGTGAACATCAAAGAAAATTTACAAAATATAGAGAAACTGAATAGAAATACTGATAACATAGACCAAAAATGGGAAAATATTAAACATGCCGTAATGTTGGCAGGGAGAGAAAATTTAACATCGAAAGAAAAAAAACATAAAGAATGGATGAATGAGAAAATACTACAGTTGATGCGTGAAAGAAGGGTAATCAAAACAAATAATTCGATATGATACAAAGAAACAGATAAACTGATAAAAAAGAAAATAAGAGAAGCTAGAGAAAGATGGCTAAGTGAGCAATGCCAGGAGTTGGAACAATTGGAACGAAAATATGACTTTTTTAATGTACACAAAAAGATTAAAGAAATGACAGGAAGGAGAAGAACAACACAGACAGGACAGATCAAAGATACAGATGGTATAATTATAACAGATTTACAACAAAAAATGAACCGATGGACAGAATACATATCACAACTGTTTGATGACAAAGATAGACAAGAAATCTCAAACGAATATACAGATGATACAGGGCCTGATATAACCAGAGAAGAAATAAAATATGCAATCAAACAAGCAAAAAGTCATAAGGCCCCCGGTCCTGATGAAATTCCCGTAGAACTGCTCAAACTTATGGACGATGAATCTATTAAAATACTCCTAGATCTATTTAACACAATTTATAGAACTGGAATAATACCTAGGGAATGGCTCCGTTCGACCTTTATACTACTGCCAAAAAAGGCAAATACAAAGGAATGCAACGAATATCGTTCGATAGCTTTAATGAGTCATGCTCTAAAACTGTTCTTAAAAGTAATCCATAATAGGATATCATTAAAGATAAACTTTGAGAAAACTAAAATTTTAACAAATCTCGTAATGAGTGGAAATATAACTATTGACAATAATACCATACAACAAACAGACACTTACAAATATCTGGGACACGAAATCAAAATAAGCAGAGACAATCAAACACATGAAATACAGAGGCGAATAGGTCTAACATGGGCAGCATTTGGCAAATTAAGCCATATTAGGCGAAGATCAGGGGTTCAAGACGTCATCGAAAGAACCACGACGCTTAAGTGGAACTGGGCAGGGCACTTAGCCAGAACACAAGATGGACGGTGGACAAGACGTATTATGGAATGGAGGCCCAGAAATTATAAAAGAAGCCGAGGACGACCACCGACTAGATGGACCGATGACATTAAACGTGTAGCGGGAAACTGGCTACAAGCGGCCCAGTGTAGAGAACACTGGAAAGAACTGAGGGAGGCCTATGTCCAGCAGTGGACGCGATTGGCTGATTGATGATGATAATAGGATCTATAGAAAATTAGACGTAGACATCAGTAACACTCAGATGGGATTCAGAAAAGGGCTGGGTACAAGGGAGGCTCTGTTTGCAATGAACGTTCTCTCACAGAGATGCTTAGACATGAACCAAGAAATTTACGCCTGCTTTATTGATTCCGAAAAGGCCTTTGACAAAGTACAACGTGAACCACTAAGACAAGTTCTAATAAAGAAAAATATAGACAGCCGCGATATTCGAATTATATGCAATCTATATTGGAATCAAAGAGCAAATGTCAAGGTTGAGGTCAGATTAACAGAAGAAATTCAAATCTGTCGAGGAGTCCGGCAGGGATGTATCTTATCGCCACTTTTATTTAATCTGTATAGTGAAGCTATCTGTGAACAAGCACTCGAGGAAGAAGATCTTGGTCTGATAATAAATTGTTAGACGATCAACAATATAAGGTATGCTGACGATACAGTTCTAGTTCTAGAACTACAATATCTCGTTCAAAGTCTCAATATATACTGTAACAGCTACGGCTTGAAAATTAATTTGAAAAAAACTAAATTTATGGTAATCACGAAATCAAAGAACATCAGAGCTAATCTTGTAATAAACAATACAACGATTGAGCGTGTGCCCTGTTATAAATATCTAGGTGCTTGGATCACAGACGATACTGATCAAACAAAAGAGATTAGATGTAGAATAGAAATCGCTAGATCAGTCTTTAATAGAATGCGCAAACTCTTTTGCAATCGTGATATCAATATAAAGTTACGAATACGAATGCTACGGTGTTTTCTTTGTCTTTTCTATGTCTTTTCTACCCTGTTATATGGAGTTGAGGCTTGGACACTAAAACAGTTGACCATAAAAAACATCGAAGCTTTAAAGATGTGGTGCTATAGGCGCATTCTCAGAATATCATGGATGGATCGCGTCACTAACACGCAAGTACTCCAAACTTTAGACAAAAGTTGCAAAATTCTAAATGAGATAAAAACTAGAAAGATGGAATACTTGGGGCACATTGTAAGAGGTGAAAAGTACGAACTTTTAAAAAACATCATGCATGGCAAAATTAAGGACAAAAGAAGTGTGGGAAGAAGAAAAATATCGTGGCTTCGTAATCTACGTGAATGGTTCCGGTGTAGTTCGATTGAACTTTTTAGGCGCGCTGCTAACAAAGTCGCAGTGGCCATGATGATTTCCAATCTCCGCTAGGAGTGGCACGAGAAGAAGAAGAATAAAAATATTTCAATAAGGTATTATTAAATTTAAATATTTAATTTCTGTAGTTTCTTTAATAATCCTTTTAATTTATAAAAAATGCGCTGCTCTAAATGATAATAAATATTCAAAAAGTTTTATTCCGACCTTCACTTGTATGTTTCTGCTTTCTTCTTAGAACTGCAACTGGAGCTGGTGAGCTGGATCTCTGGATTCTGCTAGATTTTTCTGCTGGAAACTGGAACTCCAAACTGCTAGAACAGTAGACTTAAGGACTGCTATTCAGGTTCTCTGGTGATCAAAGGCTCTCGTAAGACTCCTACCGCTAACTTCGGTGCTTTCTGGTCTTTTTATTTCGTTTTTCTTTTCTTCATACTTCGAATTCGATCGTCGATTTTATACTAAACTGAGAAACAGCTATTTAGGTCGCTAAGGGTCCAGAAGCTCCAATCCAATTAACTCCCTTTTGATGATGTTTTGACGAAGGACCAATGGAAAGACTATTACGTAGTTATGAGGTTCAAATCGTTTTATAATATCGTTGTGTCCGCTTCTTGTCGATTAACAATGATAAATATAATAAAAGATTGAAGTTATGCAGAAAGATGTTGATTTTATTGACAGCTACTAGTAATTACACAATATGATGTTGGTTAGGTAACTACTTATAATAAACTGTGCTCACATGATCTCAAATCCCCAATTTACAATCTCACAAATAATTCAAACCTCAGCACAGAGGTTATTGCTTTTATCATACCATACCAACAAACTTTAAACTATTTGCTTACATTACAATTTAATCTAGGTCTTTATTGGGACACTTAGGAAGTTCAATTAGAAAATATGTTATTCGGCAATGAACTAATTATTAAAATATTATACGATATGGTTTTACAATGACTTACTTATACACGGTAAAACTATAAAAGATTAAGAAGTTAAAAATAATGTGAGATTACAAATTAATGGATTAATTTGTAATTGAACGATTACATAGGAAGGGAAATCGAAATGCTATAATGTAAGTTCCTTTAAAAATTGTGTTTTTATTACCCAAAATACATTCGTAATAGGAACAGGATGACGCCACTTTTACTACTTTGTACGATGGCGTTTGACGTCTAATAGAATTATATGAGATATCTTAAAAATCTGTCAAGTAAGTCCACCGGACGTATTTTTTTATGTCTAATAAACTTTCGATGAAGGTTCAATTATGGACCTAAACCTAGTGCACCTCCACCGAACGTCCGCTGCACGTCCACCGAACGCCCTCTTGGGACGTTAGGTGAAGGTCCGTTTGGCGTATGGCACTGCGGCTGCGACATTTGGACCAAAATAGAAAGTACAAAAAACATCCTTAGGGCCAAAATGGACGTTTGATAGACGTCCAAGGTAGGTGAAGGACGTTCACTGGAAGTTTTGTACTATTGGCGTACTGTTTATTAATGACTGCTAATTATTTTATATATTTACATGTTTAAAATCAAAATGTATTTACTATCAAATTTCTGTCGAATTTTGGAAACATGCATCAGTCATCTTCGGTGACCATTTTACCTGTAAAGTTTTTGCTGAATCATCATCACCATTTTTTGGAATGTAGTGCTTGCAATTTTAAAAATATATATTATTGTAATAAATATTAAGACACCGTTTGCTTACGGAATCACATAACCACAAATCTAACTGGAATATTAGCAAGATTTGATTGATATGGGACTGACGCCTTCTCATAATGCGTAATGCCAACCAATTAAATATATCTATAAAAATATGCTTTCTGAGTACATGGATATATTTGGATAATATAATATATGTTAAATTTTTTTTGACAAATATATATGGCTATAGATTTTTTTTCTTTAACTACTTATAAAAAAAGGTGATTGTATGATTTTTTTTATAGTATACGTATTAGAACGAAATGTGGCACTACAAATAGGCTCTGAGAATGACAATACTAATTTTCTGAGAAACTATTTTGCCTTTGTTATAAGTTTATCCCAGTGTCTGATTCACCAATATTTTTTAAAGCGTCATTATATCTTGACTGCTTTAATTAATTCGTCGCATTAGTAACTACCTTCATAAAAGCCATACCTATCTTATCAACAAGCAGATAAGTCGAACTTGAGTCAGGTGACAATACAACAAGCTGTTTGTGTACGTATAGTCGTTGTGTTTGTGTTGCGAACCACTTCTCTTAAACTGTAACTTTTTATTTCACACGATTTAAAGACAATCATTATTATCAAAATGTCCAAAGACCGGGAACTGCAAATGGGGATGCGATGTGTGAAGTATATGATTTTTGTGGCGAATTTTATGTTTATGGTAAGTCATTTTAATTTGTTAATGTTTGGTGCAATTATTATTTTTAGTGTCACTGTTATCAGTAGCGATAAAATCTTACATGTCGCAGTACATGAATAATTATAATTTGCCATATGTTTTTAGCGAAATATCAAAATGAGGATAGGAATTTGCAGTAAAAAATTATTTGTTTTGCGACACTTTACCATATCTCTGGCTCTTTAGACTTTTAAAATGTGCCGTTTACTGTTTTATAGACACTTTAAATAACTATTTTTTCTATAATACAAATTAAAGCACTATTTTTACACGTAATACATATTTTTTTATTTCTCTGTCTTTCAGCTCTTATTTGGCTAGTTATCTATTAGTCTTATTATATAGTTTTTACGTCCATCCACCTTTTAGAAGCGGTCACCTCTAAAATCAATCATTTCAAAAAAACGTAATTAATGAGAGTACCAGTAATCTTTACCCTCTAAAACGGTCGTCGCCATTTCAGCGAATCTTTTCTCGAAAAATAGCTTGTCCTCTAATTTCCGGTCATAGATAAGATAAGGAGTTTAACGATAAACGAATTATTTGGGGTGCAATACAATAATTATATTTTTACAGAATTATCAATAATTATGTAAATATTGGTACCTTTCAACCTTTTATTTAGTTATACAAGCAATTTGATAAGCAAATCTGTGCAAATCCTAGCATATGCTAGGATTTGCTCCTCAATATTGTTGGGAGAACGGAAAACGCAGCACGAGAGGCGTATGTAGCACTTAAGGAAGCGGCTACAAAAATGGGTTTAAAAATAAACATTAATAAAACGAAATACATAAAAATAGGTCCGCAACCACAAATATGACGGCCACTTGTTATAGAAAACGACGTAATCGAAGAAGCAGTTAACGAATATGTATACATGGGAACGCTCGTCAATACTGAAAATGACACTACCGCAGAGATAAACTGCAGAATTTGCATGGCTAATAGATGCTATTTTGGGATTAATCTCCTTTTTAAATCTACAGTTATATCAAGAAATACAAAAGTAAAACTCTACAAAACAATAATACGTCCAGTTCTAACATATGGTTCAGAGACCTGGACTTTAACAAAAAGCAATGAAAACATGTTAGGATGTTTCGAAAGAAAAATACTGAGGCAAATCTATGGAGCTGTAAATGAAAATGGTGTCTGGAGAAGACGATACAACTTCAAACTCTATAGAATATACCAGGAACCAGATATCGTAAAAAACATTAAGATATTACGTCTGAGGTGGGTAGGCCATGTAATGCGGATGGAGCAAATCGACCCAGCTAGAAAAACGCTCCTTGATAGACCTATTGGTCAAAGAAGAAGAAGAAGACTCAGAACAAGATTCCTAGATAACATAGACCAAGATATGAGAAATATGAAAATACGTTCTTGGCGGAGGAAGGCGATGGATAGGGACGACTGGAAGAAAATTCTTGGGGAGGCTAGGACATACACAGGGTGGCAAAGCCAAAATGATGATGATGACAAAATATATTAGAATAGTAGAAACTGAAGAGTTCAGAGTACGAGTACTAGAAAATTGGCTGAAAATTTTGGTGTTGAGAGAACACAAAGTAACTAAATTTTAAATAATAAATCCGAATTAAAAAAGATTTTTTAAGAAGGCTCTAATCTAATCCAGAAGAAAAATATTTTCAAAACTGAAGAATTAACGATTGACCAAGTAGTTTTTAATTGATTTTGTGAAGCTAGCAATAATAACATTCCTGTATTTGGACCTCTAATTAAAGAAAACGTAGTCTGAGATTTAAAATTAACTACTTTGGTTACAAATTTTTTGCCAAATACAGAACACAATGCTTCAATACAATTTGTGGTTTTAACTCCTATATTTATTATGTCATCATCAGTAGCTCGACAACCCTTTCTGGGTCCTGGCTTATTCTAGGATTTTCCGCCATTCTGTTCTGTTCTTTGCTTTGTTTTTCCAGTTGGTAATCTTAAGTGTTTTCAGATCTTATTCCACTTGTTGCATGTATCTAAGTTTGGGCCTTTCCTTTGATCTTCTCCCTACTGGTGTTTGCTTCATTATATGTTTTGGCGTTTCAGTCTCCAACATCCGTTCAAAATGGTCCATCCAGCGCAGACGGCCGATCTTTATGGATGTTATGATCTCGGGTTCATTGTATGCTGTGTATAGGATAAACTTATATCTATCTGTGCCATATGTAATTTTTCTTTACCCTCCTATATATGTGTCTAAAGATTTTTCGTTCAAATGTACCTAAGAGGTTCTCATCGCTTTTCGACAGTGTCCACGTCTCTGATCCATATACAATGATCGGTTTTATCTGGGTCTTATATATTTTGCATTTGGTTTTTCTTGTGATGTAACTAGTGAACCTAGATATTATGTAAAACTTTTCACGCTTTCGATGTTATAGTCTCGTATTGTCATATTCTGTAGGTTTCTTTGGCCTGCCGATTTACTGGCTTTCATGTATTTGGTTTTTATTTCGTTAATGTTTAGGCCACAGTTTTGTGTCGCTCTTTCTATCGCATTAACTGCTTCTATCATCTCTCTTTCACTTCTAGCTATGTTATCAACATCATCTGCAAATGCCAATATTTGTATACTTTTTGTTATTATTGTTCTTTTGGTGTTGACTTTTAACTCCCGAATTATTTTCTCTAATGTGATGTTGAATAGAATACAGGATAGGGCATCTCCCTGTCGTAGGCCCGTTCTCACATGGATTGTATCGTTTTGAATTCGAAATATTTATTATGTACTTTAGAAAAAAAACAACAACTTTAAAGGGATTTTATTTTCTATGTGGTAAATAAAATGGCACTATTTAAAGGGGTGCATTTTTGAGAAAAGTGTGTGTTTTTGAGAATCTGGTGAATTAATCCATATGCACTAGTGTGCATTTAGGTGAACTTTATGCACTTTTCCTACTTATAAATCGACAAAAACGTTGTTTAAAACTAAATGTTTTATTTAAATGTCACCTTTTGAAGCCAAAAATATTTTTTTACAAAAATATATTCAAAAAACAAAGCAAATAAAACACGAAAACATGCAATTTTTCTTTTTAGTCCCATAATTTTTTTCCACGGTGGTATGGGTATAAGTGTTAATTAACAAAAAAAACTTTTATCCTTTCTTTTTAAAATAGTATTTGGAAGAATTCTTTAGAGTTCACAGTATCCGAGATATTTTTCAAAGTTCGATACTTTCATCATTTTTATCTAATTTTCTTTTTTTTTAAGAAACATTGTTCTCTAATTTTTTAGACCATTTTAGATATATCCAGTGCTAGATTAGATGTAAAGAAAAATAATTACATCTAGAACGGTCTACTATGGAAAGCACTACGACTAATGTTAAGCGAGATACGGTTCTTAAAATTTTCTATTTTACCCGATTTTTGCTATTTACGGAAAAATGCATTCTCTAACTTTAAAACCAATTCTCATTTTTGTCGATAGGGCACTCTATTAGAAGCTACGTAATTTTTACTGTCGAATTGATACAAATTATATTTAGAAAATTTTTCATTAAAACCAGTTATAAACATTTTTGAATAGCATTATCTCAGTTTTATTTCTTGTGTGTGTGTACCTATACATTCTTGTTAAATTAATTTTTTCCATTCCCAACTACCCCATTCCGTTACGAGGGGGGTTTTAGGAGAAAGCCCGAAGATAGAAGTGGCAACTTATTTGACACTCTCTCAAGCTTTATTGTTTCTTAAAATTGACATTGTCTGCAAAATTTACTTGTTTGTTTAATTTTTAGAGGTTCAGTGGCATATAGTATTTTTTTCTTGTAATACATTTAAATCTGTATAATATACAAATTATTGTAATAATCACAATTTGACCATAGATTAGATACTATTTGTCCTAGAATATTTTACAATAAAATATTTTAAAGTAAGTACAGCTTTCTTTTTTATTTGGTAATGCAGATACTTACCTGAATGTACTAGAAAAAAATATTGAGAAATTTAAAAAATAGCCGTAAAAATCGTTAAAAGTAAAAAATTTTTAAGAACCGTATCTTACTAAAAATTGGTCCTAGAAACTTCTCCAATAGGCCATTTTGAAAATAATTAATTTAGATTTCTAATAAATATACAACAGTATACACCTATAACAGGTGTGAGTGACAAACTTTGAACAATCGTATCTGAAATACTGTAAATGCTAAGGACATTTACTAAATGACATTTTGAAAAAGAAGGTTCAATGTTTTTTCCATCTAACAATATCTACCAATTCCTATACCTACGTGGAAAACAGTTATCGAAAAAGAAAGAAAAATCGCGTATGTTCCTATTTTTTTGACTCGTTTTTTAAATACATTTTTGTTAAAAAAATATTTTTGACTTTAAAAGGTGACATTTTAATAGAACATTTAATTTTGAACAACTTTTCTGTAGGTATATATGTAAGAAAAGTGCATAGAATTCACCCAAATAAACCCTAGTTCATAGAAACAAAGTCACCCCTTTCTCAAAAACGCCCCTTTAAATGGTAGCACTCTGCGTTTTTTGATATTTGGGGATCATTCACCATAAGATATTAAAACCCTCTTACGTTGTAGTTACTTTTGGACCCATTTTTTTTTAACATAATGAATAGCCTCAAGTACCATAATATTATATATTATTATTAACATTAATAATAATAAAAAACACTCACAACAGATGAATACAATGCAGATGAAACCAAAAAACAAAGCAATAATTTACTCAGCAGCTTGTAGAAATATTTCGCCATTTAGAATTTCCAAGTTTTTGGATAAGCGGAAATCAGCAGATTTCAGCTTATTTCTAATTTACAACGAGTAAACATAGAAAACTATGCATCTGTTCATTGCAGTGTTTGGACCGAAAATCCTTTTGGCGTTTAAGAAATAATTGAAATTAAAAACAGAAAATCACGAGGAGAGGACAGAATACCGAATAAACTCCTTAAGTACGGAGGACTAGATCTGACCAAATAACTAC